CGACCGGGGCTAACTTTCTTCTCAAAGAAACGAGCTTCAATTTTTCGCTTAAGAGTAGCCAACTCAGTTGTTCGCCGTCGAGATGCCGTTTTTGGACTATTATAAATAAATCGAGGACCTAATTTTAGTAATTCATATTCGTCCTCGGTTAATTAAATTTGTGCTTCATTAATTATGGCTGGAGCAAGAAGTCCTTGCCCAGCGATCGAACCAGAGTCGGGGTAATAACTTCGTTTGTTTCGCCCTCGACTCTCTCTTGGACTAAAAAATAAATCGATTGTTCAGCTTCTAATTTTAATCGTTTTTCACGTAAATCATGATAATGTTTAAATGGTGCATAACCAGGTTCAGCATCAAATCCCTCATCATTATCTTGAGGGAAGCCTGTAATAATACGTTTAATTTCATCTGTCAATAATTCATTTTCTCGAGCTAATGACTGAACATATAATGTCATTGCTTGTATACGAAAATCTTTAGTAATTTGTTTCATTTGATTATATGTAGCTTGTGCTTCATCTTGATTGATAATTGATTCATCAATTTTAAATGATAAATCAACTTTCTCAATAAATCTTGGAGGCATATCATATTCAACACGTTTTGTTGCTACAAAATAATTTTTATTTTTAGTTGACCAAAGTTTCATTTTTGGTTTCAATATTAAATGAATATTCCATTGAGATGGAGTAGCTATTTGTTCAAAATCTTCTAAAGCTTTAAATTCATCCATTTGAATTTTGGCTACTTGAATACGAGTTTCGTGCATTTTCTTAACATGTTGAGTACAATGTTTTAAATATTGAAAAATTAATTTTTCTAGTTCATCAACTTTATTATGAATTGTATCAATACTTAATTGAGCAGCTGGTGATTTAGGTGTTGCTGGTGTTGATGTATTGACTTCTATATTAGAATCTGTTTGCGTTGCATCATCAGTTGTTGCTCTTCCTTTTTCTTTTTCTTTTTCTTTTTCTTTTCCTTTTTCTTTTTTATAAACTGGTATTTGTGACCAATAAGTATGCAATTGAATT